GTTTTTTACGATAATTCAATTTTTAAGTGAGTTATTATGAGCATATAATATATAGTACATTTAAAATTCTCATAATAACTCACTTAAAAATTGAATTATCTTAAAAAACCAACGAGCAAACACAGATAATGTTCTTACCATCAAGTTGCATAATAGGTCGATTCACTGCAATTTTTAAGCTAATGTAGCTACAAGTGTTCTGTCGAGCGTAATTTTGGTATATTACGCACCRGTAAGACGGAGACAACAAATACCACTGTTACGTATTCTTAAGAGATGGTTTAATGGTTAGTTATCCAAAGATATTACCTATTTGTAGGTAATAGGTATATAATTATAAGTAATATTTCTYAGTATTAAAATATTTGTGCAAATTCAGGTTTCGAAAATAATTGGAATAAAAACACTGCATATAACTCGTTAAAAATATGAAAATAATAATGTATATACAGTATATTAGTATAATACATACCTACCTATTATCTTGTATAAATAATTAATAGAGGACATTGTTAATTTCTGTGTATATACTTATCTTAATAAACAGCAATTAAATTTCATAACGCAGTTTAATAAAAATATAATATTTTATGTATGTATGTATCTATTAAATTCTATTTGATTAATAATTATATTGTATGTCTATTTTGCAGTAATGGTCCACTGCCTATTAACGACGAGGACGGAGATAACCACCTCAGTATTTCAAAAACGACTTTATCCAAATTTAATGAAATCGTAGATATATTGTTAATACAGCGTAAGATAAATGTTGATTGTTTAGATTTTTTATTTTCATTTTTAGATTTATTGCATACCAATTTTAAAAAACCATCTACCATTCACTATAAATGTATTCAATTAGTCCAAGCATGTATGTATTACACTTCAGATCAAGTACATTATGTCATTGAATAAAAATTATTTTACATAAATTACTTTATGCAGCGCTGTTAGTTTTATCTTTTTCGCCCTAGCAAAGCAAACGAATACCCTTACGCAGAATCATTTTTTATTTTTATGTTTTTGAATAATCTTGGAGAAGAAGAAGTCAAATATGAACATTTTTTAGTTGCTATGTTATAATACAACGTTTTTGAGTATTTGGGGGATAATATATCAAAAATTGGGGAAAGGCGATCTCATGTCTTAACGACAAATTCAAATMTGTTTTAGAATTTTTGTTCTCGCTTCATTACATCAATCGGTACGTTTGGCTAAGAACACGTCTAAAATTCTATGTCACGCGGTGACGTCTCACACAAGCACATCACTTCAAAGACTTTTGACTATAGCAATCTGCGTTATTTGCGGTAGTGTCAGACCATATATGTTTAGTCACTGGCCACTGCAGCTATATAACAGCGTACAACTGATGTAAATGACATTAGGTAACGTCTTTGTGTCCGTGATTCTGGAAACCCACTGACTCAGTAGTCAGTAATCAGTGGCATAACTCGTAGAAAATGACTATAATACATGTTTACAATTGTACATACCCCACTGCTGTTTCATTCAGGCCAGTATAGGCATTTTATACCAAACACATCCTATGATATACGCAGGTCCCATCTCGCTATGACTTGTTATGATTATGTATTCATTGTCGTGCAGAGTAACTATACATTTATATGTTCTACACGTAGTACACAGTACAGTTATATATTTTTTTCGTCTTATACTTCAACACAATTTTTTTTTTTTAAGACGTCAATCATAACGTCAACTCTTATTATATAGACCTTCATATAGATTATAGGTAATGACCGTTTTTAAATTTTGATTTTTGAATATTGAAAAATGGGGCTAGGATTTATTTAAGAATCGCTATGTTTTTTGCATCGTCCTTTAACAAATTTGGTTAAGATGTTCACGAATCGCAAGCTAAAGAAAACTTTAGATGTACCTTCAAGTGCAAAAAAAAACTGTTTAAGTATAATTTTGATTACCGAACGCGCTTAGTGCTATATCGAGTAATGTCTCTTTTAACTTTTTAAGTCACAAATGTTAAATCTATAATATTATGTGTACGTAATATATTTATTGKGTCGATATAATAATATTATTCATATAATGTAGGTACTGTTAAATTGTTTAAAACATATAAAATTAAAAAACAAATATTTGGAATACTTAAACGAAACAATATTATACGCACAATTGACATAATCAATAGACAATAGTTATGTTATATAGTATAGTGTATATGTAAATGTGTAATATGTATATTTATATAAGGTATGTATATATAAGTAAAGTTGTTTAAAATTAAAATAATAACTCGTAGTAACTACATTTTTAAAAATATTATGAGTCACGAGATGTATTCTAATAATATAATAATAATAATTAACTATAATATAGTATGGTGAACGCTGCAGCACCTCAGCATTTAAATATAATATGGGAATTATATTACATATTATAATTAATCGGGTTAACAGGTGATGTGCAATATAAAACATGTACTTACTAMTTATATATAAATGTATATAAGTATATGTATATRACATATGTTTTGATTTTAGCTATAAACATAAAGGAAGTACCAATAATGCTTTTATAAACAGTAAACTCTCGTTTTATCGAAATTTAAGAAACACTACAGACACTGTGTTGGAGATATCAAATTTTTATTGGTTTAGATCAGAAAAATATTTGAAAAAATAACATATTAAACAAGTGATTAAATTGATTTATCTATTATCTCCTGTTAGCTATTGGAATGGTAATTATATCAAGGGGATCCCAATTGAGTTGGCAAAATAAGAATCTACAGTAAAATKCATAAAATATGTATTTCGTGCTTGTGGCGTGCGCGTCATCATCACTATATTACAATAATGATATTACAATATTATACTATAATTCATACATTGGGCGTAACTTAATAGTATTATCATAGTGTATTAGATTTTAAGCGATGGACCGTCAGTGACAGTATGGATAGTTGGGGCAGTTTTGCGGGCTGACGCCGGACGGATACCTCTTATGCGCGTACCTGAGCGCCTCGGCCGGTACCTGGTGTGAGCAGTACGGGTAGTTGGGGCAGTTGGAGGACGAGAGACCGGCCGGGTAACCGGGCTCGGTGTACGGCGCCGGGACCAGTGGCTGGTTGTGGTGGTAGTGAGACGCCTCTGACGGGTGATGCTGGTAACCGGAATACTGGCCGGCGTTGTTGTTGGTGTAGTGGTCGTTGTAATCGTTGCCGTTCGCTGGTTGAGCGTACGCCGCCAACAGCGCGTTGTCGCAGTGCGGGTAATTAGGACATAGGGCYGGATTCAGTCCGGACGGGTACCGGGCGCCTCCGGCCAGCACTGCCATGGCTTGGACCGCGAAAACAATTACCTGAGTACAACAGACCGACAAAAATGATTTTGTCAGCAAATCAAATATTTCGATTTACAATAATACACATTATACACTGAACTAGTTTTTCAAACAGCCCAGTCGCTTATCCCAATAAAATAGTCATGTACCKCCAACCRCCATGATAATAATATGGGTAAACCCAAACACGCGTATCTCAGAATTAAATCGGTATCATCCGTTACATTATGAATTTTCATAAATTTTCAAGTGTGACATACATATTACGAGTAAATAATATATAACGCCAAATAATTTTTTTTTTTTTAAATTTATTGTAATAGAAAAAAAACATATTCATGATTAAATAACTTTCCCGATAATAAGCGATAGATTTTGGAACGTTT